AAGATTTTCATCTAAAATTTTTCCATTCAATTCAAAATGAACATTATTTTCTTCATTTCTAATCGATAATAATAAATGAGAGGCAATTAAAGATTGAAATTGTTTTTGTGTTTTTATATCTTTTAATGTTGTATTTGATGGAAATGTTATTAAAGTTGGATATGAATATGGTAAAGATTTTGTTGAACTTGATGATGATGATGATGATGATGGAAATATTAATAATAAGGAAATTTTTGAATTATCTCTTTGATATTCAATTGAATCGAATGTTTGTTGAGGACGAAGACAACGTTTTCGAATCATTATTTCTACAACGAATAAAATTATATATCTTGAAATTATTTAGAATTCATTCATATGTTAATGATAAATCTATAAAAATCTTATCAATATGCATCATGATACGATGTCAAGTGAGTTAAAAATGCTTTTCAAGATCAAAGAAAAGAAAAACAATAAAAATTAAAGAGTTTTATCTTATGACATGATATATAATTGTGTCTGTGTTTCAATTTTGCTCTAGAACTGATAAGGAAGGCAAAGAGTAAAGGTGAGTGAGAATTACAAGAATTTAAATTTATGAAAATTTCAATGGTGTAATCTAATCAAAAACTGACTTTTTTCAGTTGAATCATATTATTTTCTAATACTTTGTTAAATGTTGAAATGAGAAAATATTTTGTTTTTCAATTAAATAATTGTTTTTGCATCGTTTAACTTTACTGACTTTTCTTGTCTCTGAAATTGTTAGAGAAAATTAAAATACATTTGTGCCATCACCAAAAAAATACTTATTCTATCTCATTGAACTTTTTCAAATAAGAATATTTATTTGACATACCATAATGTAAAAAGAAAATGATTTATTTACTTTGAATTATTTATAGTAAAATAAAACTAGTCTATACAAACATCTGTCATCAATATAATAGAATCAAAAATAGATTCTCATTCTTTATTATTACTTTATTGTTTTTTCCGTCCCTCATAAACATCTTTTAGAATATAGATGTAGAGCGATAGAAAAATAAAGCAATAATATCAAACACGTGTGTAAAAACATGTGACTACTAAACAAATGTCTCTCAAATGTAAATGTACAATAAAAATAATGATGGTGACATATGGGAAGAAATACAGATATTAAATAATTATGATTCGTTCGTTCGCTTTTTTTATATTATATTGTTGAAAACACAATGAAAAAGGCACCATCTTTGATATCATATTTCATGTATTAATGTGGATTTGAAATCTAGACTTACTTTTTATACATCTATTTAATTGAAAAAAAAACTAACATAAAAACGACAGAAGAATAATAAATTTGTTTATGCTAATTTTTTAGACTTTTCTTATATTAAATAAAATGGAATTAAGTAACACAATCATATGTGTTCTTATAAATAGTTTTTCATGAGACCTTTATCTGTCTTAATAAAATCGAAATAATACCAAGGATATTTTTCTATTGACGAACAATTAAAAAACATCAACATGTGTTTAAAAAAAATTTATTTTTTCAATTAATAATATTCTTATTGGCTGATACTGAAAAAAATCGTTTTATTTCTTATTTTGGATAATTTCCAAAAGAAAATGTTTTATGAAGAATTTTTTTATTTCGTAGTAAACATAATAACTCATAGACAATTGTAGCTGCTGCTAAACTAGTTATATTACTCTGATCATATAAAGGAGAAACTTGAACAATATCCATTCCAACATAATTTATTGAATCAAGTTGAAGTAAAATCGAAATAATTTGTGATGTTGTTAGACCACCACAAACAGGATTTGCAGTACCAGGAGCAAATGATGGATCAAGACAATCAATATCAAATGTTAAATAAGTTAAATTATTTCCTACACATAATTTGATTTGTTCAACTATATCTTCAATTCTATGTGTATGGACATATTGAGCATCAACGATTTTTATCCCCATTAAATTATCATTATATGTACGAATACCAATTTGAATTGATGTTGAAGGATCTATAAGACCTTCTTGAACAGCATCATTGAGACTATATGTATTTTTCTCTGTCGATGTATGTGAATGAGCATCAAATTGAATTAAAGATAATGGTTTACCATAATGTGCAACATGTGCTTTTAATAAACAATATGTCGAATAATGATCACCACCTACAATTTACATTTATTTTAATGAACGAATAAGATTTTAAATTAGTTTTTATTAATTAACTTTACCAAGTGAAAAAAGAAAAACATTTTTATCAATAATTTGTTTTGCATGAGATTGAATAGTTGAAGATATTGTTTCAGGTTGATTTTGATCAAACCAACAATCTCCATAATCAATAATAGATAAATCATTAAATAAATCAATTCCAGCAGGATAAGATTTTTCTCGTGTAACTTGTACTGATGCTTCTCGAATAGATTTTGGTCCAAATCGTGCACCAGGTCGATATCTTGTTGACAAATCATGAGGAATACCAGTTACAGCTACATCAACATTACTTAAATTACGTGTATAATTTCGACGTAGAAATGATAAACAACCAGCATATGTTTGTTCATCAGTATAACCAAGCGGTTGTTTACGTCGAAAAGCTCCATCACCATGTAATTCATTCTCTTCTTCTTCTACACATATTGAAGAAGTTAATTTTCTTACACTAAATCTATGACAATCATATAATATCTTTGATAATCTACGTTGACATAAAATCATATTTTTTATCTACTAAAAATAATAAAATAAAATCTAAATGAGAATTTATTAAGCTTTTCAATAATCTTAGTTATTGTTTAAACACTTCTATATTGAACAATAAATGATATCAATCTTATATATACTTACTTTGGGGAACATGGATTACTTTCTACCACACAACTATACTAAAGAGAAGATCGATTATAAGTGCAAAATAGTATAAATCAATCACATAGAGAGAAGAGAGACATGAACGAAAAGATGTTACTCTCACCCCGAACCATATTCAGAAGGGATGTAAGTAGAGAAAAGAAGAAATACGGTAGATGGAGTAGATCTACAACCTGACCCGAGAGACAGATCATAATAATATTATTTTGGGAAAATAATTCATAGAATGAAAATGAAGAGAAGAACAACATTGAATGATGATGTTAATATTAATCTTAATCTTAACAAGTAGAAATAGATTTCAACAACGAATTCGATATTTTCATGCATAAACCTTAACTTAAAAATAAATATCTCGAAAACTATTCTTTATTTTATTGACAAATTCTTTGAACATTTTCGATATAAGAAGTTTTTTTCTTCTGGAAATCTTTTTGCACTACGACTATAATATGACAAATAAATATAAGTGAATATTATCAAATGAGAAAATTAGAAAATAACTGAGAAATATAATAAAATTTATTTTTAATAGTTTTATGTGAGAAGAGTGTAAAAAAAAGAAAAGGTTTTTAAAAATGCTGTAGGTTCCTACTTTGATTTTCATGATAATAATTTATAAATTTTTTCTCATATAACTCCACTTTACATTTGTAAAAGAAAAAATAAGAGTTTCAGGCGCTACATGGTGAATATACCCTTGAAAAGAAAAAGCACATGTAAGAAATCCTTCTTTTTTTTCGTTCTTCTCATTCTGCCAAGATTTATGTTTATTCTAAAATTAATAACTATTTACATTTTTTCTAATAGATTTACTTTATGCATTTGATCAAAATCAATTATTGATAAATGTATTTAAATATCGATATACTTTCAACTCTTTTATTAGAATATTCTTATTATTAAGATTTTTTCAACTGATATTTCTGATTTTACTTTGGTCTTATATGATTATCTTTTTTCTATTCTGTATTCTCTAAATCTTTCTGTTATGTAATATAGATTATATCAAGTGAAACCATAGAAGAGATACATACTCACTTATTCTACGTTATTCTTTTGTTAATAAATCTATGTTACTCGTATTTATTTACCTATTTAAGTGTGATGCATGTTCAACAAGGATAAACAATGATCAGTCAGTATTATGATCTTAAACATTGTGGTGAGACATCGAATTCTACTGTTATTAACCCATTTTCTAATTTAAATTTTTATCATCAAACGTCTCAACCCATAGAAACACAGTCGACAGTGATATTTGAGTCATGTCACAATTTGAAGTTTGTGAAAAAGATGAACCAATATTCTGTTCGTTCTACAGTAGTGGTTGTTATAATTGTTATATTTCTATCTATTCTTCTATTTAGCAAGAATAGAAATCCTATAGCTACACTCACAACTAATGATAATACAACTAAAACTACAACAACAATCACAATATCAAGGGACACTGATATAACGCACCAATTTCTTTTTACGATTTCTTTGAAATTCAAAAAACAAGCAGGGTGTTCGCAATGAAAATTGTTCAATAGAACGTAACGGATAGCTGTATTTGTTTTTTAAAAAAATCTGAAATTTGCATAGAGTTCGGGATGAAAGTGACCGGAAGAATGTAACAATGAAAACATGAAGTTCGTAATGAAAAGAGTCAGGATATTCGTAACTATGTTCATGTGTACACTTTTTAAAGAGATTTTAAGGAAGGGTGTGGGTGTGGGTGAGATCGACGGTGAGTGCGAAGAAAAGATTATACACCACACCCACATCCTCAAGACGACGTCTATCTCAATACAATTCCATTGTGTATTAAATAGGGAAACGAAACTGAGATTGTATAGGAAAAGTATTGAATATGTTGACCTTATAATGGTCAGATATTGAAAAGAAAGAAAAACACGAGGATTAGCACGATAGATGCTGAATCGATATCGACAGGTCATCGATGTTTTAACGGACATGCATTGTATTCTTCTGAACACTTATATATATATATAGATCTGTGCATGGATAATATTAGTTGTAACATAATGAAGAACATGATTGTATCAGTATTTGAAGACTTACCTAATGAATTAATAGTCAAGGTTTTTGTATATCTCAGTCCATACGATCTACTTCGTGCATTCGAAAATGTTAATTGGCGATTATTGTGTATACTCTCTAAACAGAAACTTTGTTTGCCAAACAATCAAGGTATGAGTCGACAAGTGTATCATCAGTATTTATCATCAATTCTTCCAACTCGTCAATCACAAATTGTTTCTCTTTATTTATCCGATCAATGTGCTGCTGGTGCTGTTCAATGGTTTTTCGACACATGTATTTATCTCTTACCCAATTTTCCACTACGTGCTTTAACAATTGAAGGTGTATCACGTCAAATATTCGATATACTTTTATCGAAGTTACATTTTTCTCCTCATCTTCAACATATGACTATCGACATTCACATGATGCAATGGTATCGTGAAGAATATTTAAATCTTCCCGATTTTTATTACCTTTTTCCTGTGTTGAAAAACATTCCACAATTAGAAAGCCTTCGTTTTAATCGAGATCCGACTCGTCCATCGGTCGTTATGTATGAAAATCTGAAATTATTTCCTCCAGTTGCGTACCATCTACATACTCTATCGATTGATTCCTGTTCTCATGAATTGATTGTTGCATTGCTTCATTCTTCTCTGCCAGTACTTCGTCAACTAAAAGTTCGTTTCGAATTAGACCCGTAAGTAATAGAAATTGAATAGTTCGTTGGAATGAATTAAAAATTCATTTTGTTTAGATTGGATTACTCTCCAACATGTGTTTCAATAAGTTCGAATCGTATTCCTCAACTTTCTCATGTATCATTTACGAATGCAAAGAGTTTTCGATGGGTTCTGGTGCTTTTTGCTGACGTGTATCAACATGGTCAATTGAGAAGCATCGTACTTTATGATCGTGAAAATATATTTCGTCATAAACAGTTGGTCACTGCCAACGAACTTCATCGATGGTTTCTCAAATCTATTCAATGTACTTCTTTTCAGTTTCATTTTCGTCATTTTATTTATGACGGCCTACTAGATATTATCAAACGTACTCTTATAGAATATCAAAACCTATTTGATGTTCGTTATCAATTGAATAGATTCAATTCATTTGATTTATTCGTTCAGTATCCAAAGAAAATCAAATTCTCCGAGATTGACAATATTAACAATGATCTAAATGTAATTTCGGTATGACATTATTTTTTCGTCATGAGAAATAAGAAATAATTTGTTTATCTTCAGTTTGATTCTTCATCTTCATCATTGTATGAAGACTTGTGTGACCGATGGCATGATGAAATTCGCCTCGATCTTAATGGATTCTCGAGTCAACTTGACATTTCACAGTAAGATATTTTGAAAAATCCTTGCAATTCTAGAAATAATTCTTTTAAACGATTATTGATTAGATTTGCTCTTAACAATGCTCTTGAAATCTTCTCAATCTTGGTGAATCAAACAACATCAGTTCGTATTCGTAAATTATATATCAATATGAATATTCCTACATGGCTTTCATCGTTGTATATTGCTGCTCATGGTAATTCGACAAAAATACTTGATGATACTGGAATTGAAACAGTTGATCTCAGTGGAATCAATACATGTTTGATCAAGGCTGCTGAACAAATTGTATCTGTTTTTGGTGGTGTAAAAAACTTGATATTATTCATTGATAATACATTAGATTTAACTCTTGGTCATCTACAAATAGCCTTAAGACGATTCGTCGAAGGTCTTCCAACATTGATTTATTTTTCATGTGCTGTTCATGCTCGATCCACACGAGCAGTGGATATGTCAGAGATTTCACCATGGATTTTGTCAGGTGGACTTAATCGATCTGTTTCCTTTCGTTGTAAAAGGTATAACTTGGATTTATGGCTTTAATCTATATGCTCAATCAAAAGACAATTCACTTATTATTTTCTTCTATTATACAAATAAATTTCGAAAAAAAACAGAATTTATAATTCTCGAAATTCATTCGAAATATATGAAATAGAAAAACAACGAATAGGGATATATATCGAATTTTTCATCATCAATCAATCGACTCGTTCGTTTAGTGGCTAACTTTTGCGTTCCGGGGATATATATCTAAGTTTTCTATATATTTATGAAGACGTCCTGAAAAATCTTTGCAGGTTCTGAGTTTTATTAGCGTTTATCCTTCAAAGAATACAATACAGTTATTTTTAAACCTGATAAAGATCTATATGTCTAAAATATGTAAAAGATTCATAAGACTTTTATTTCTAAAGAATGTGATACTTTCTCTTCCATGAATTGTCTGCATAAGAGATATTATCACATGCATCAATAAATTAGTCACAAAATAATATTTTAAATATACAACACTCAGAAACAGCCACTTTTCAACTTTAGTTGCTGCGATGAGCCAAAATGTGGAAAAGTAATATGACCATCAACCACAAGTAAGCAATGACTGAGATAAAAGGAGCATTAGAACCGGATGATTTAGGCGTTGTTGTCGTTTTGGTAGTAGTGGTCGTCGTCGTCGTCGTCGTCGTCGTAGTAGTAGTAGTAACTGAACTGCGTTTTACAAAGATAATTGTTAAAGATATTATAAGTGTTATTAAGACTATGCCAAAGACTAGAATTCCTGTGATAATGCTAGCTTGATAATGTTGATATCTAGGATGTGGTTCCGGAAGATTTCCATTGATAGGTGTTTGTTCTGTTGGTCTATGCGTATAATCTGGATATTGTCGTTGGTTTCTGTTCACTTCCGTATACGGCGGTGGCGGAAGTAAAGGATCTGTCACATCAGATTCTGAGAATGCTCGCATAGATGTTTCTATTATTTTTTGTATTAGCCTAAAAAAAACAATTAGCATATAATATCAGTGATTTGGCCAATTTCAATAAATTTTGATACATTAGACAATTTAAGAAAATAATCGTAGTAACGTATATAGTTTTATATCTAATATATCAAAGAATTTGTGGCACTTTCTTTTCCACTTCAAATGTCTATACTAAATTTCTTTTAGATTTCATATTAGTCAGTAATGATAAAAAGAGAAAGTGTTTAAGTATGTAATGTTTCTTTGACATAAATAAAATGTACTAGAAAGCTCATGAAGATTATAATTACTTGTATTAATTCTCTTAATGGCTTTTGTTACGGGTGACGAACAGCTACACTCTATGTTTCCATTATAAGTAGGCATGCATCAAACCCGAACTCAAGCTCGGGGTTCGGATTCGGTGCATACCTAAGATTAAGGTAATGCTTTTTCAAAGTTAAGTCTTGCTTTTACGTTACATTATTAAATAATTTCTGCTCACTGAATAAAACGCAAATCAGAGTAAAATTTTCAACAGATGGCGATGAATGGCTATTAATATTGTTTTTCCTCAACTGAGTTAACTTTGTTATGTATTAATTCATTTACTATTTAGAAAAAGTTTCATGTTTCTTATTATTAAGAAAAATAATGTATCAAATACAAAAATTTGACTTTAATTCGGCCTATCTTTCATTATTTTTTTCGTGATGTTTGTGAAAAAATATTTACTTACCTATAGACGAATGTAGTAAGAGGACTGAACACGTTTTGTTTTTTGTTTTTTATTTTCTTTTTATACTGGGAAAATGAAAAAAGAAATCAATTGACGCCTACGCATGAGCTTACGATGGAAATCATCCATTAATAATATATGCACGTGTTAAAGACATTGAAAACAAATAAATATGAAGTGCAGTATTATCTATGATCGCTTGAAATCACAAAAACCTTGGTAGTAATTGACGTTAACATAGAAAAAACTCAATACCGATAGATGTCTCCACCTATAGAAATACCGATACATCCACGAGGGATGTAACAATACCAATATGGTATTGGTGTTGTTAAATCCCTAGTATTATAATAAATATGTGAACTTTTTTCTAGTTGAAATAAAAAGAACAAAGATTAAAGAATATTTATCATTTGTGAATTATACGCATAACGTACGATCTTAGATATTAGAAAAATGGATTTAATCTAGAGATTTTTCTATCTAATTAATTATTTATTTTTATTTGAAGAAATAAATGTTTTAAATGATCATATTTGATTTCTACTTGCAAACTAATTTTTCACTTATATTTATAATATAGAAATAGTTCTATGTGTATCTACTAAAATGATAAATATCATTGAACAAGGTTTATCTAATAAAGAAGATTGGAAATAAGACACGACGTCTCTTTTAACATCATGTTAAAAAAACAATAAAAGTTATATGTTTAACATCTTTGTTTAAATATGAAATTTTTCTTCAAAGTAAAATTGAAAATAAATCGAAAAATTCTTTGATCAATTTGAATAATAATTAATTTTATTTGAAAATTGAATTGAATTCTATAATTAAATTTAAATTCGAAGGTAAAATAAAAGGTTGTTTATTACATGTATCTGTTACATAATCACATTGATAGAATGAATCTCCTGCACGAAAACCCATTGGAAAGCCTGGACAATAAAATTTTGATTGATTTTTCCGACGATGTAAACGTATTTTTAGTCGACCAGATTTACATTTGGGACAAGATGGATAACCACCGTTTCGAACTAAATAAATAATACGAGAAATAAGTTCACCTTTATTTCCAAATGGATTTTGATGATTCAATCGTAGAATATTTTTTAATATTGGTATTGTCAATACATTCAATTGAACACGAAGCGATAGTGCTTTGGATTTCTTTTGTTTTTTTGATAGAGGTACATGTTCATCATCTGAATCATCATCATCATCATCATCCGGATCATACGGTAAATCTTCTTCATTATGATTTCTTTTTAACGACATTAGTGATATGTCGCAATGGTTGTGCAATCCTATTTAAATACTTTAATGCAACATTTCTCTTATCAGTTAAGAAAGAAAACGTCATTGTTTTATATAGATAAAAGAAGAAATGAGAAGACAAAACATGCTACCTTCAAAGTATAAATTATTTTTGAAAATATTTAATCATTTGTAAAATATAACATGATTAATTAATAGTTTAGTTCTATTTAATCGTCTGAAGGAGTAACTTTGAGAATACAGAAGCGTATGAGTGTGAGTAAAGGTGAGGATGAGCAGAAATAAAAGATCTTCATCTACTCTCACTCTTAAGATGGAGTTGTGTATTTGAACTTATTTCCTATTGATTTGTTTGTTTGTTCGATTATTTCTAATATCTTTTCATCGTTCCGTTCTCTCTTTCTCTTCTTCAGTAAAGATACCTTTTTCGAAGACTGTCTTTTATTGAATATGAAGACGTCGAAGAAGTTATACACATAAATCTTCGATTATTAACTTTTTCATTCAAGTATGGATTACGATATGAAAATAATTTGAAATAAAAATATTTTGTTTCTATTATTAAATCTTTTATTTTATTGTGTTGAGTTTGTCACTTTTTTGTTGATTAAAAAATTTTCTATAAAAAAAATAATAATATTAAAAATCAAAATAAAAGAGTATTGATCAGTCTATTTTCATGTTAATAATATATTGTTAATTTTACGTTTTTGGTCAAATGATCTTAATGTTGTCATTGCCGTTGTCTTTTTTCTATAGGAATCATTTTTTTTCATATAGGTGAGATGAACTTCATATTCGTAAATTTGTTCCCCACCATTTGCTGTTAAGATCGCATGATGATCATCTGTATTATTTTTCTTCTCAATTTGAATACCATTTTGAGTTATTTCAATTTGAGCTCTTTGGTTATCAGATCCTTTAAGAATAATTTTAAATTGTACATTTTCATTATCAATTATTTCTTTATATTCGAATTTGACAGATGTTGATTTAATATTTTTAAATGTTAAATGAATAGCATATATAGCTGAATATCGTTCTTTTGAAATTAATTTAACTTGTCGATTTAATGAAACCTAAATGAGAAAATAATTGTCGATAGAAAATCGAAAAAGAGAAAAAGTAAAGGTTACATCAGAATCTTGTCCAGAAGTGAGTATATATTTATCACCTATAGCCATATCAGGTAAATTTGTTAGACCAACTAATCGACCTTGTTCTCGAATAGTCAATGGTCCACCAGGAAGAAATTTATCAATCGATTCAATACGATATTTTCGTTTTAATTTTCGTATTTGTGTGTGACTAGTAAATGGTAATGTAAGAGCAACACATTTATTTATTTGAATTGTTGCATCAATAAATGGTAAAGAAAATGTTGATTTTGGTAAAAGAACAAATGATTGATTAATTGAATAAAGAGAAAGACCTAGAAAGAAAATATTCTTGACAAAATAATATCTAGAAGAAGAAAAGAAAAATAATTTTACCTGCTAATTCTTCTAATGGATCAATAGTTGATGTCATATTACAAGAGTCAAATTCTTCTTCATCTTCATCAGAGACAATACTAGAACTTCGACTTCGACTTCTCGATCGATCTCGACGTCGTTTTACTTCATTTTCTCTTTGTAAGATAATATCATCACGAAATAATTCTATTCGATCGTTTCGATATTCTTGTTTTGTTCCATTTTTAATTTGAGCAAATGCTTGAAATAAATGTTGACAATCATCAGATAGAATATTCAAATCGTATTGAGGTGACCAAGAGATTCCTTAAGAAATATTAATAGAAAAATCTATAGAATTTTACAATCATCGATATAACTCACCATGAATTTGATAGGTCAATGTTGCTTTGCCTTGATTTTTTAAACTAAATTTAACTTCTGTTCCTTCTTGTTCAGGAATATTAATAAATTCAAGTTCATTTCGTTGTGCACGAAAATATCGTTTTGTTTTAATATCTTGTAAAAGAAGATCATCACCTTGAATAACACGACATTCTTGAGCTTCGACATTTGAATGACGATGAACAAAGATTGATTGATTTTCAAGATTATTTGCTTTTGTAATAAATTCTTTTGATTCTATTTGAATACCTTCAATTGATAATGAATCGGAAGAAATATTTGTAAATACATCTCGACAAAAATACATTTTAAAATCCTAGACAAAACTATCGAAATTAGTTTATTCAACGAAAAAGTAATTACCTTTGGTGCATTGTATTCTTGACGAATTTCTGTGAATGATGGATAAATACGTAATTCGGTAAAATTTGGTAAGATCATTTCTGTATCAGTTAACATGATTATTGTGCAAAAGACAAAAATCGAATCAGAATTTTATGTGCTGGTGAAATTGTATTTCGATTGTGACATATTTTTCTTACTTTTTATGAGTATTTAAGAAAAAAACAAATGAGAATTGCACAACACGTTTGTCATATACGAGAAACATAAATTGCATAGACTCTCATGTCATTATAGAAAATGATGAATCATGCGTCTTACTCAACCGATATATTCTTTTATTTATTTTTTAAGGCGACGGAGTGTAGCAGCCGACTTGTTGCTTTTGATTTTCTTCTTCTTCTTCTTTTTCTTTTTCTTTTCGACAAATGAGTCACGATTGAAGCTAGCTACTCGTTCTTGGCACCGAATTGATTATCTATGAGTCAGTATTATGCGATCATTCATATACGAAATACTATATGCATAGACATTTTAATTATCGTTTTTTTGTCACTTAAATCCATCATGATAGACTCTAATCTATGAAAAGTAATTATTCGATGGCTTGTTTATCGAAGTTTAATTAATTGATTTTGAGAATTAAATAAGAGAAAATTTTAAATCGTTCAATTTTCCGCGTTTATAACGATTGTTATACTTCTACAGTCAGCCACCTTTCTTCTACTTGAACTTGCTTCAAGTCGAGATCTATTCTAGAATTATTCTTTTGATAAAGCGATAGTTCAACGAAATACTTTTTCTCTTAAATAATTCTAAGTTAGATAAGTAATAGAAAAGAGAATGAAAAATTGATTGTCGATCTTCAAAATGTCTATTTTTATTCAATCTTTAAAATAAAATAAATTTAACATATATTATTCTGTGAGTTAAATTTCTACACATCATCTTACAAAATATATTTTCAAATATATTAATTAAATCGGCAGTAATAGAATTGCGAGTGAATAACAAGTTCATGTCGGAAATGAATTTGAAAATAATTCAAAACTTTCATACATTGTATATTTATGTAATTACTATAACTCTGTTTTCATCCATATCGAAATGATGCGTCCTTTGAGAATAAGAAAGGCAAATCAAGTTTTTTTTGTTTTTCTAATCAATCAACACTTCAGAGTAAATATCAATTTAATATTAAGTTGAATTTTTAAAGATTTGTTTTTGTTCAAGTAAAATTTTCATGAAAAATCAAATTCAATAATAAACAAATGATGAATTTATTATTTTCAACAAAGGAAATATATTCTACCAATAACATTTATTCAATACAAGAAAAACACACAATGAACATTGACGACGATCGATTCTTCCAGGAGCATTCGGATCAATTCAACAAAATCTACAATAAGGATGAAAAAATCCACAACCAACACCATAACATGGATTTTCAGAAAAAACTCCTAAACCTTCGGAATTGGTTTGCCATGGTGTATTATTTGTATTTGTTGACAATGAAGAAGAAGACATGGAGGAGAATGTTGTCGTTGATATATGAGATTTCGATGATGAAAAATAAATTCTCGTTCAATATATTTTCAAGATATTTTATCTTCTTCGAAATTGTCACTGGATTCATCGATCAAATTATAACTATTACTTTCAGGTATTGTTGAGCTCATCTCAGATCTCTTATTTGTAGGTAGAAAACTATTGATCATTAAAAGTTTTCACCATCACTCTCTAATTGATTAGATAAAGAATTTTTTAATAAATTTTTCTTAAGTTCTAAAAAGATATATAAAAGTTAGACGAAAATTAATTATAAATTAAAATAAATCAATTTCTATAGACGAACCTTTGAGAATTTTTGCTGCACGATAACAATTTATTGTTTTCTATGCTTGAATTAAATAAATAAAACTTTTTTCAGATATTTTTTCTCAATAAAAAATTTGTTGAAAAATATTTCAAATTCCATCAATAGTTGAATCATCGAATAATAAAAATGAAAGATTTTTACGATCATTATCACTTAATTCATGTAATATGAAGTATCATATAAGATAAGAATTTCTATATGAGAAAGAGAAAATTTTTTCATTGAGAAGATTACATCGTATATAAGAGTAAGATTTCATGAGACGATTAATTGCAATGATGACAACATACAACTATACACTATACTCATTATACAATTGTTTCTACAAACTTCAAACTTAAAGGAGTAGAATTTATGATCTAGAAGAAACATATATTGAAATGTGAATTTTATCAATGTCGAAAAATAATATTTTCATTCAATACTTCACTTTTCCTACATAATCAAATTTGAATTTTTTTTCGTAACTATTACATAAATTAACATACTTTATTCTCTCTACTTTAATTTATACTTGTAAATGCAATCAAAAACGTACAATATACAAATACAGATTTATATAATATATTATATTTCTCTTTTACAAAGAAAATTGTTGCTCTGTGTTTGCACTCTCGCAAAACAAAAACATATTTATGAGTTAAGAGACGTACTTCTTCATGTAACAATGTAAGATACAAGAAATAAAACGAAATCTTTTTCAATACCTACTAACTTCTCTTCTTTTTGAAAATCATTTGGCAAAATAAATTTAATTGGTATTAAACACATGCATAATATATAAATCGATTTTGTTCTATGTAAATGATAGGATACAATATTTTATCTTATCAATTACATAGAACAAAATCGATCTACATATAATGCATTTAATATCAATTAAAATTGTTTCTATTTAGTTCTTGATGTTAAATACAAAGAAAAAAATGAATAGATGTGAATGTGAATGCATGACTGAAAATAACATATTGACATCGATCCATCCAAACGAATCGCTACATTTATTATATAGAAGAATTATAGAGACGATGATTGAATATTGAATATAGTTATATGATGGAAGTATGAGTAATAGTCAACTAGAATGAATCTTTCATTCAAAATCACAGAGTTGCTGCTCAGCAAACTCTTTCTTCGCCATTAGTCATAACGCTTCTTGCTCTCTCTCTTTCAAACATGTTAATCTTTATTTATATATTTCTTTTTTTTTTCTTTTGATAATATCTGTAAAAAGACTTTCACATAAAAGGAATCCAATATCCTAAATTGTTTCTATATCTTCATCTATTTTTAATAATTTATTTAAAAGTATAAATAAATCGTAATAAAGAAAAGATTGTGAAGTTTATAAATGAATTAGAATAAATCGAAGCTGTTGAAGATATTTGAGGAAATAAATCAATGGAATTTATTTCACCTATTGTTGTTCCATTATTTGTAAAAGCTAATGTATTCTTTCCCTTCAATAATTCAATAGGTATCATAATTGAACTCCAATTATCTGAATAGAAAACATCAATGGTTTTAATATCGTTTTTGTTTACAGTCATAAGATAAGTTGTTGTCTTGGCATATTCTTTTGATCGAACTTGTATTACTGTGATGTAAGAACCTATTTTATCTACTTCAACATCAAATATTGGATTTTGAATTGGTGAATCTAATTGATAACGTTGACGAATAGGTTCACCTTGAGGAAGAGATATGGGTATATTAGGATCTCTCAATTCACCTAACATTAGTGTTCCATCTTCTTCATTCCATTGAAATGGTTGAGTTCGAATTTGTCTCGTCCATCCCGATCCATTATACATTGCTGTATGAAAAACGAGCCAATTATTACTAGTTAAACTTCCATGACCTGGTCCAAAAAGTCCATTCCCACTTTTCAAGATAGGATCAGCTCGTTTTTTCCATGATGATGAATTCATAAGATCACTATTAACGTGAGCAGTGATCAAACCCATACAATAGTCATTGGTCCAACTGCCTGAAGCAGAAAAGACAAGATTAATCGTTTGATCATGGATGATAACTTGAGGACCTTCATTGACAAATGGTTTATGATTGGTTTCCCAGGCATACGTAGGTCTACTAATTTCTAAACGTTCCGAGTCGATAATATATGGTGTAGACATGTGAGCAATGTAAAGAATCTATAAAAGAATAAATAAAATATTTCTATTTCTATATTGATCATATATCTCATTGAAGAGAGGAGAGAGTCTTATGTTTAGAAGTGAGGATTATATGTCATTATGTCTTACTTGCATAACATCGGTATCTCCTTCCCATCCTGACCATATGAAATACAATTGTTTCGTAGTTGGATGCTCTAATACTGTTCCATCGATAGCCCATTTATTTGTCTCATCTGTTAATTGACCACGAAATTGAAATTGACCTTGAAATGGATCTTCATTTATATTTTCCAAAACAAACATTCGATGATTAATATTGTCATCATCACAAGTAGTTGCAGCAAAATAAACATACCATTTATTGCCAATAAGATGAAGTTCAGGCGCCCAAACACTACGACATGCTGTTGTATCGTTTGGTGTCCAAATAATTTTACTCTCACCAATATCAAGTGTACTGAGATAACGTGAACGCCAAATCATAACATTATTTTGAGTTGATTTAGTAGCATAGTACCAACCATTTGTTGGATGTTTAAATACCCATGGATCTGCACCATCTTGAGAAAGAAACGAATAAAATGTATTAACATTATTATACTCGGTTACAGAGTATGATACATCTGTATTGTGAACTAATGCAACGAAGTCTTGAAGCAAAAATAGAAGAAAAACTATTGTATGTATCTTCATATTGAAAGGACAATAAAATGATACTTTTGCACACCTTTAGATTTATTTCACACTTAAATAAATGCAAAGTAAATATCATAAAGCTTAAATTCTTTACTTTCTTATCAGTATACATTTATTTGCTTTTAATAATACTGCATTTTGCATATATACACCTAATAACCTATCTTTTTTTTATAAAAGTAATGAAATAAATAAAATACTTTTTATTATTTTATTATTCAAAAATTAACTGAAAATTTCTATTGAGTATATGGATATGGTTTGATGCAAATCTCTTCTTCTTCAATCTCATATCGACACCCTATTTATCAATCAAACATACTTTTTTCACACTCGCAAACTATTTGTTCTGATAAATCTATCGTGTTATTCTTAGTGCATATTTTATTTCAAATTTCTATTATATCATTTGATATTTTATTGTTTTCGAATGATAAATACATGGAAATTATAGAAGTATGGAGGAAAAGGTCTAACATTGTAAACAAGAATGATGGGATTATTGAATAATTCAACGATAGTAATCGATATCGCGTCGTATTCAGATTGTTGATATACACTTCTCAATCAAATTTACAATGATCTGAATCTTGTCTCAATTTGTTCATTGTTAATTAGGAATGATAATGTAGATATGTTATATAATAACATGAATGAATAAATTACTCTATTATAAATACAATTTTGAGTTCACTTCCATAAACAGATAAACGTTAATCTTCTCACTTTAATTTTAAGCTTGATATTTAATTAGATGAATAGTTTATTCACCAAATTTATTATTAATAAATAGATAGTACATTAATAATAATCGCATACACTAAAGATAATACTACACACAAAATGGACACAAAAATAAATAAACAATAGTAACTATGCCATGCGAACTTTTTTTGGACGGCCTGGAACTTTAAAAGTATTTTTAGTTAATTCGATCACTCAGATCGAGATAAATTATACTTTTTTTTCAGTAATCTTGTTACATTAATCAATCAATCTTTACAACAAGTATATGATCTATCATATATGCATTATTTAACACACAAAATGAACTCGCTATCGCTCCCTACGTGTTAATTAGATTGGTGATCAAAAGTACAGGGTATGGGTGTGGATGTGAGTAAGAATAAAAGACCCACACCCTCAAGATTCGATATAACAAAATGTGTTATTTCGGCTTGTTTTATAGCCTTATTGAATCGAATTTCTCGTAATATTTAAGAATCATTGAACTATTTAATCGGTAAATTTCGAGGATTAAATCATTGATATTTTTCGTTTGTTCTAGTTATGAATGTCTAAGTGACAAGTAAATACTTTTAATAATCATAAAAAACTTCTATGTAAAATTGGCATAAGAAAATCTTTCTTATCGTTGAGTGTCAATGATTACAATTAAGTTGCTTCTGTTGAACAAATATTTCTTTATTCGACTATCTGATGCTTTTCTTTTCGAATGGAGTTATTTCACAAGTAACGCTCGTTTAAGGACTCGTTCAGCTCTTTCTCGTAGAAATGGTGTTCTACAATGTTACGGGACCTTTTGCTTATATAACTTGCAAATGCTAACACCAAATTCGTGTTCCCCGACCTCAAAAACCGTCTCGTCAATTTTTTTATAAAAAAATAGTCCTTTGTCTAAAAAATTTTTTTTTAAAGAATTGTGAAAAACTAACATCAGATTCGAAGTCCTTGCATCGAATTACCTTTAGAAATGTCTTTTTCGAAAAATCGATCTTCGATGTTTTTTTGACCCTGCGGACATACAAGCAAACAATTTATTCTTACTGGACTCTTCTCTACGAGAGAGAGAATATTAGATACAAAAATGTTCAAAAAAAGAAGAGAAGAAAAGTAGCTTTGAATATCTGGTTGCGAGATTGATGATAAGTAACATTGTCTTAATCGCTTTTTCGAAAGAAAAAAAGAAAAATCATTGAAGCATAACAATGATAAATCAGCGTTTAATTTAATTTGTTCAATATTTGATTTAAGATGAAGCAAAAAAAACATTCGATATTTTCTTATAAGGTAAGTTCTTTTTATCATTTGAAAGAATTTCTCTTTTATCGATTCATATTAGATTTTAAAGCCAAATAAATCCTGGATAAAATATATAGTGTATTTGGTTTTATTTGCAATTCTATTTGTTTTTCTTATATTCTGTAAAAATTCAAATATATCTTTTCCTTATTTTGAAAGAATTTTATGGAAAAAAGAAATATCTATTATTAAAAATCTCAATCAAGACATGTGTACAACAAAATGGTACAAACAATTACAACTGGAATTTAATGTTTTTAGTGTAAAAAATTTTACTAAAGTTATCTTTATGATGGATTATTTATATACAAATATCACTAATAATGGATCCTACAAATGTATCTTTTTCCATTTTGGTAGGAACTTTAAAAAAAAAAGAAGTTTTCCATAGTGAAGAAAATCTCGAGGAATTGATTTTTACAGAATGAATTTATTTTAAGAATTGTAGAAACTAATAAGACTTTTTTATCTGTTGTAAGGGACGTAAGACGTCTGTTACGCATAATTATCGATATTGAGTATAGGAAGAAAATGAAAGAAACGAATATAATATTTATTTAATTCATCAATAATTGAAGTGATTTGATATAAAGAACAAAAAGATTATATATACGACAACAACTCAAGCTAGACTTCTTCAAATTTCGTGAATTATCGTAAAGATAAACGAAATAATTTGTCATATTAACATCGATTATAACGATGTTTTATGAGCGAACGAAAGAACATACGATTTACGTTATGTATGACCGATAGAACAGAAAAAAATTGGCGATATAATATGATGCTTTTTTTTTCTTTCTTCTTTTTCTAATTGAGAAGAGATAGAGTAAAAACTATAATCTATGGAGATTAAATTCTTCTAGATAGAATCTAAGTTTAGAATTTCCACTGATATTTTATCGTTTAATTTACATCAGAAATGATCTTTATATTCTGCATATGTCAAGATTATTTAGATTAAACATCCATTTGTTTAATCTATTGTATGCATATCTTTTAGTTACTAACTTAGAATCGTCAGTGTGTCCGTCCAGCCGTTTATACGATAACTTTCGAAAGGAGAATCGGACTGAGCTGAAATTTAGCTTTCTAACAAAACATCGCCTGAGAAAGGTCTCAAAATGCACAAAAACTGTATCTAGAAAGCAAATTGCTTAAATATGTCTCGAATGACGAATAGTTCTGGGGTTTTTGCAAATGCTTGATTTTTATAGCTAATCAAAAGGACTATCGAAGGGTAAAAATCCGAACTCGATAGTTATTATGAAAATACTGATGTCTGTATCGATGATATATCTCTTATATATTGAACTGTTTTTATTGTTAACTAAGAATAAAAAAAAGGTCAATGTCTATTTCCGCTTTTTGCAGTACATATAACTCTCGTGTAGCACAAGTTCGATGTATTGTATTATTTCTTTCTTTTGATGACACTCATATCTATATTTTTGCTGTTGAAACTGACAGAAAAATGTAATAATGACTTTATATGAATTCTATTGTATTCGCGTTTCGCAGAAGAAGCAGTTTTTATGAAGTTTATTATCTGAAGTAATAAATATGTTTTTCATTGTTATATATTGAATCTAGGTACAAATAAGACAATTAATCCTCAATTATTAACACGAATTGGTGGAAAAGATATATCCGATCCTCATAAACATACATTATGTCTTCAATGTGACATACCAAACGAAGCAATTCATCCAAATGCAACAACAATCGATTTTATGCTTAGTAAGAAGGGAAATCTAATTGTCGATCTATTTGAAATAGTTTTATATAATAAATGTTTAATTTAGTTTCAGGCAATGATTTGATCAATGGTGTGATTATCACAATTTGTCGTTTCTATAATTCATCATTTAATTTTTTAAATAGTAGAATTTATTTAGAAAATACAACTCGACAGTTAGAATTAATAAATAAATCTCGAAATAGAAATTCAACTCTGATTGCTTCATGTACACAAACATCTCATCATGATTTATATTTTCCTTTATGGATAAATTATTATTATAAAATGGGTATTGATCATTTTTATATTTATGATCATGCACCTTCAAATTTAACTCGTTTACATCATAGTCTCAAATCTTATATTGATTTAAATATAATAACAATAATTCCTTGGTATATTGATCAATGGAATGGATTTAAATATCGTAGTTCACCGTCCGAATGGGTAGCCCATCAAATTTGGTCACAAAATGATTGTATACATAGATATGGATATTTGTATTCTTGGATTCTTATATCAGATGTTGATGAAATAGTTGTTCCAATGGGAAATTTGACTAATTTTAAACAAATGCTTGATATTGTTCCATCAAATTATTGTGCATTACAAGTTCTTAGTTATAATTTTAAAGGTTTACACAATAATATAACAATTTCAGAAGAAGATCGACCGAGTAAGTTATTCTAATTGAATAGATTATTCATATTAAGATGATTGATTACATTTCTTTTGTCTTTGATAAATTTCATTTATTGTTTTTTTCTCTAGAGAAATTTATTCATCGTGATCAAAAATCTAAAAATCGAAATAGTCATTCAAAAAATTTTGTTCGTCCTGAATTAATTTATTATTTTTCTGTTCATGAAGTTACAAAATCGGTTAATGACGTACCTGTGTTTTATGCTGATGTTCATACACATGGTCGTATTCAACATTACAGAGGTGATTTTATTCCAACAGAACAATTAGCAAATTTTACTATTGACACTCATATTTTATCTTTTATTAATCAAATAAATAATTCTTTATCATCAATTTTCTAAATTACACTGGAGTGATATGAACTCTTGATAATAAACATCATTTCTATAATAGGAAAAACAAGAAAATGTTATATATTTACACGAATGAAGAAATCATTCTATTATAAATACAATTTTGAGTTCACTTGCATAAACAGATAGATATTAATCTTTTCACTTTAATTTTAAGCCTGATATTTAATTAGATGAATATTTCATTGTAAGGTTGAATCTCAAAAAATAGGTCCCGATAGCTGCTCAATTGACTCTTAGTGTAATACCGAAAGTATTATTTTGTTGTATTAGTTCCCATTTTTCATTAAGTTGAATGTGAAGTTAAAATCATGAGTGATTCACAAAAATAAATATTTATCCGTGAAAAATACGGTTTCTAAAAAAAATATTAGGCGCTCATCAATATATTTCATGTTTCTTTAGTAGCACAAAACGAAGACTTGAGAAAAGTGTTTCCATCCTTTGATTTTTTCTTCGTCTAAAATTTCTATCTTTCATTTTAATATGTTTTTTCAAGTATCAACAACGACTTCTCTTCCTGAAATCAATATGTATCGAGTATTGGATTGAAAGAGTCCTAAAAACACGCGAACCTTTCGACATTTTTCTTTGACTAATTGAAATCTAGTTAAAATGAAAATCTTTTAGAATATTTCATTTAATATAATAGTTTTTATTGATAATTCCATTAGAGTATATTATGATTTTTGATAATCTCACATTTGATAATGACGATCATCTTTCGTTTTCATAATTTGTTTTTTCCTGAAAATTCTTATTCCCTCGATATATTGTCGTTTCATTTTCTCATTAAATTTTTAGATTTTCTAATAATGTATAATTGTTTTAACTAATATTCCGACGAGAAATAAATTCATTAATAAAGATATAAAAAACGTATTTGTAAGCCTAATTATATGTGCCTATCGAAAGTGTTAAATATTTTCGATATGATCAACAATATCAAAGTGCTTAAAATTGATTATTATATATAGGTTTAATTTTGAAAACAATTTTTCTATAAACTGTTGAAGTTCAGATAAAAAAGAATTTGAGAAATTAATATTATTTATTATATTGCATTGTTGTACGTAAGTATGTAAGTATAGACACGGTAAGATTAAAAATAACGATTAGTTTTTTTTTTCATGCCACTAACTTATTTTACGTTAGTATAAAACTATTGTTTTACTTTCATTTTCTCACAAAAATCTATATGAAAAATCTTCAGGGGTGTAGGTGGAGACGTCTCTTCTTTTACCCACACCCATACCCACCCAGTCCCACCCACTCTCACGCTTAGAGGTGTAAGCCGTGCGGCTGAGCCACCTTCGCCGCCGATAAACTGTAAAAATTTAAAGCTGCCGCCAGCTGGCAACCTTAGAAAGTCACAGCCATGCCGCCGAGCATTTTAAAAAAATTTTAAAAGTTGGCGCTGCAGCTGATGACCCCACTGGCTGACACCTCTAGCTCACGTTATAAGGATTGCTTGATGTTATGATGCTGAACTCTGATTGGTTCAAAAAATTGATCAATTAAACACCGGACAAACAGACAAATTTCTGTATTGCCAACTCATCTTTTCAGAATTGAGAATAAAAAACATTATATAAGATATACTGTATTTTTTCTTATGTAAAATGCTTGCTTAAATACATCTTTATTATCATCAAAAGAACTTATTGAAGAAGAAATTTCAGAAACACGAAAAAAAACTAAAATTAGAATCAAGTCTTTAAGTCAGTTATATATTGAGAGGCCATTTTAGACAGGAAGTATTAGATCAGATGAAAACGGACATGTTTGAAATTGAGCTAGAGTAGCGGCTATTTGTGTCGGTTCGATGGGCGTATCGGTTACATCGGGAAAAGGAACGCCACCTAATAACGAGTTAAGGTAAGATGCATGACGAGCTTCAACTGTAGCAATTGTTGCTGCAGCCAGGATGATACTAGGATCACGAATTTTATCGATAGCACCAGTATAGGCACTTACACCAGTATTTTCAAACGTGCGTGACAAACTTATAAAGCTTCGAATATCTGTGACAGGAAAAGTATATGTGCATACACTCACGGGGGAACCACCACGTTGTTTTATGACCGTTTGTAGAATCTGCACATGTGCATTTTCATGTTCACGAATCAAAATAAAATAAATGCTTGCATCTGGAAAACCATTATTAGTGTAATCAGTCGATGAGTAAGTGGATACATATTTATTGTAGTAAGCTGCTTCAAGATTTTCTGCAACAAGAGCATAATTGAGTACTTTCATATCATTGGTATACATAGCACTGGTATATGGTGATACCTTTGTATCATTTGATGTTGGAACAGTACCAGTAAAAGACGACGAATCGATATAAGGCACAGTCGGAGGAGTGATTGTAAATGGACATGATATGAGAAATTTTTGTATAGCTGCGATGACTAGTGCAGGAACTGTAGCATTTTCAACTGTGTTCGGAAATGGAGAAGCCCCATTGAGAGTATTCAGATAAGCTGCATGCCGAGCTTCGACTAGAGTATAAACAATGCTATATAATATAAATTTGACTAGTTTTTTAAAATTCTATTGACCTGTTGCAATTGTTGCAGCCGTTTTTCTTATCATTGGATTAGCAATACCATTCACTGCGCCTAAGTCAGAAAAGATAGTAATCGATAACTCAGAAACACACTCTTACCATCATAAGCCATTGCACCCGTGTTTTCTAAAGCTTGTGCAACGCTGACATAACTTTTCACATCGGTTACAGCAGCAAAGTTGTATGTACACTGACTGACTGGTGTACCACCGAGTTGACTAATTACTGCTGTTAACGCCCGGACATGTGCTAATTCGTGAAAATAGATAATATTAAAATAGTCATATGTTGTTTGAGTAAAACCAGCGGCGATAAAATTTTGACCTGTAAATTGAGTTTGAAATTGTGTATAAAAATTGGCTTCCAATTGTTCAAGAACCAGAGCATAATTGAGTATAGCTAAATCATTAGTTAAGTCAGGCGTTTCTGTCGGTAAAATAGTGGCTATGAAGACAAATAAAAATTAAATCATTTGATTGTTCATAAAGTCGTATAGAATATAGTTACCTGATATAACTTTTAGGGAATACTGAGCGCCAACAAGTGTCAAAACGAAACTACCACGATTAAGTAATAATTCAATAAATCTTGCGACTCGATGTTGTAAACATGCACCCCGAAGACAAATACCATTTCCTGTAGCACGGCCATTTATAGAAATAAAATTACCTTTAGGTTGCCTAAAGAAATCGATTGAAATGGTTCTTGTTAGGTATTAAACCACTTACAAAACTGCTCGGCGACGACGACCAGAATCCGTATTATTACCAATAACAGCACACGATATGACAGTTACTGTTGGTGATGAAGTGCCACGAATCGATCCAGACAAAGCTTGTTGCTATAAAATTAAAAAGGTAACGAGACAAGATAAAAGAATAAAACGCTGTACGAGAATTCAACTCACATCTGTTTGAATGGTAGCACAATTGTCTGCTGAAAGTGCACCGACTGGTAAGAAGCCATTATTAATCCGATAAACCGTATTGTATCGATAAGAATCGACAGCTGAAAAAATAAATAGTAAGGGTAATGTCTCTGCCATTATACTTGCCAGTATCACGATCAATATTTCTTGTTGATAAATAGGTTGGTATGAGTGATAGGATAATTGTTGCTGCAACGAGGAAAAGGACGAGACCAATACCGATTATTGGGATCAGCGGATTTATTCCACGACGAGGACTACATGAAAAAGATTTAGAATAGAAAACAACTCAACAAAAGACTATTTACGCTGTTATTACAGCAGGTCCAGTCGGTTGAACGATTGCTGGTCCTTGTGTAATGTGTGCATACGGAGCAGCGTCCATAAGAACGGTTGTTTGAAACAATATTTGTTAACGTTACTCGTATTAAATGTTTCAGTTGAATCGATGGTATTGTTAATATTATCGGCTTTATACACCTGTATATATATACGTCTCTTTCTTCGTAAACGATTCGTCCTTGAGAGGGATAAATACGTATGGTTTGTATATATACAATCGAAACAGTATCTTAATATTTGTTTCACGTGTTACAGCTAACAATACAATAGTTTTGTTATAAGCCTAGGTATGAAGAATCTGACGATAAACATACGCAGATGAAACATGACTACTTACGAATTTTTTCTTGTTTCATTGTCATGCTTTTTGTTTGCACTGTAATATAATACTCATTCTCAAGAAACGTCAATCGATGGCGAGAAATTGAAGAATATCTTTCTCTTATCGTCTTTTCATCCATTTCAGATCTATTCAACATATGCAATTCAGCATACTTCAGAATATTTTTCAAAGATAGATTTATGTTTTGCACTGCATGTCCTTTCTCTTATGTAAATATATAAACAAAAAAATAGTGTATCAATATCAAAACATATTTGTTAATTATTGTTCCCTCTACTGAAAGAAGGTTATATGCAGAATGAGTTAATTTCGTTCCTTCACTCCGATTGGTTGATTAAAACTTCTAATTCTTTCCTACTATATGGGTTGATCGAAGGGTAATCGGGGTCGAAGAGTCCGGGTGTGTTTGTGACGGCTGGCCACGGATCAATCTTTTGGAACCTTTACCATAGTTACGCAACTATTGGAACTTTCAAATAGTAGTCACTCAACGATACATAACGATATAATATTTAATCTTTCTATATCAACTTATTTAAAAATTCAACACGCTGTCATCACCACTAACTAAGATGCTAACAATATTGTATCAAACACTTTATATAAAATAACTTCCCTAGCGGAACTATCATTTCAATGGGAACTACCCATGAAAAAAATTTCAATAAAAAACCGCGGTTTCAGGCGGCAAAATATTGTCGCGTAAGTCAGACCTTTTATTCGTATCTGTGGAACCGCGGTCATTAGAAACCATAGATGGAACCGGTTCGGTTCGAGACATTCAACTCAATAGATTGTTTGGATTTATTCAAAAATTACATGATTATATATCTTTTATGTAAAAATTCTTTGCATAAACTATTAAGACTAATTTTTTTATATAGAACGGGTGCTTTTTCACTTTTTGAACATTGAGTGTTAAGGCGGTCAGAAACTTTTGATCTGATGTAACTTGTGCAACTTAACTGATAAACAAAATCTGATAATCATATTTATTGTTTTAAATAAACGACGTCTGTTGAAACTACTATCAAATTATTAAAGTATGTACATTATAAATCCGACTTATTCGTCTAAAATGATCATCATATGAATAACTAAAATGACCACTTCTAGTTATTTGCGAAACAAGCGTTCCTTTGTGTAAACTAGCTCCAAAATCATAAGTCATGTTTTAGAACGATTAACAGTTTTTCAAAAGATATGAATATAAGATATGGTTATGAAAAACAATGATAAAAATGTCTGATAACTAATCTGAACATAGACTCCAACCTGTACAGTTTGTTTATATCGCATATGATCGAATAATTATTTTAAATAAGTTAGGAAATTTAAACAAATTTTGATGCTTAAGTCGGATAGACTAAGTTAGAATTACTGTGACTAATAGAATAATTTCAAACTCATTTTTTGTTAAATGAAGTCGTTCTATTAACTAAGTAACATATTAGAGCCAATGTATTATGCTATTTCTAATATTATTCATTGAAAACCATAATACAAAGGCACATCTTTCTTCTGATATGAGTGACTCAGAGGTTATCACAATCATAATGTAGTCTTAGAAACTGGGTACAATACCTCGCCTATTCGGAATTTGGCGACCATAGTACTGGCTGATATAATGCACTATGAAGGTTTAGAAGAAACCAGTATTGCTCAATTAAGGACAACAATAATAAAAATATTCGAACAAAATAGTATGATAGTTGAACAAGTTATGTTTTTAGGTGTCCATAATCGGTATTGAATAATTGCAAGTAAAATAGTTCAAGAATATTTTCCATACCAAGACTATATGCAAAGATTAACTTCTTTTAGTAAATTAGCACGTCTACTAATTACTAAACCGCTTTTGATCATTAGACAGTATTGTGTATCAAAAGTAGTGTAAAATTGATCATATGGTTTTAAATAATTTCATATAAGTTTTACCTCGGTTCGAGAAAAACACGAACCGATCTCATCTCTGATGCCAACCGTCATAGTCAGAAAACCGGAATTTTAATATGAAAATCCGGAAAGGTTTTTAACAGTTAATTTCTACCGGCTAAAATAAGTTTCTCAAAATCTTATTCTCGATTATACTACTTATTATTTCAAAAAACATGTTTCTATAGATCAAAAGAAAATCAACATCAAAATTCAAAATATAATAAACTAAATATATAAGAACTATAAGCCACTGAGCCGCTATCAAATAAAAATTTTTTTTTGAGTATTAATAAATAGGTAAAATTTAATTCAATAAAAGTCATCTGAAATCCAGAAAAAGTAGGAAAATCCGGAGTTTTTCTTGAAAAACCGGAAGAGTTGGCAACACTGGTCCCGATAGCTGCTGAATTGCAGAATTAATTCTTAGTGTAATACTAGAAGTATTATTTTTTGCATTAGCTTCCATTTTTCTTAACTTGCCTTTATATTTAATCAACTTTTCATTGAGTTGAATGTGAAGTTATAAATCATGAGTAATTCACAAAAATGAATATTTATTCGTGAAAAATACGGTTTCTAAAAAAGTATTAGGCGCTCATTAATATATTTCATCATATTTTTTATCTTATAAATGTTGATCTTTCTATCGAAATAACATAGTTGAAGATTTGAGAAAAGTGTTTCCATTCGTTGATTTTTTCTTCATCTACAATTTCTATCTTTCATTTTAATATGTTCTCAAGTATCAACAATAACGGCTTCTCTTCCTCAAATCAATAT